TATGAATGGAAATAAAAAGACTACATTTTAACAGCACATTTCCCCCAACACTGACTTATCAATGACAGGCATGGCGGCTCAACACGGCACAAAAAGGAAGTCCTTTGCCTGTGAGATGAAATGCCTTAAGAAAATAATATACTAAGAAAGACTGCATAAGGAACGAAACTGTCCTGGCTTCAACAGGAATAACATCGGGTGTTAAACGTAACTAAAGCATCAAAGAATCAAGCGGTTTAGTCATCTGATGAGAATATCACTAAATCAATAAACTGCACGAGCTTACAACTCAAAAGAGTCTGGATACAAGGGTAAGGGCAGACCACGCATAACTTGAATAGGTGACGAGAGGTCCAAAAGAACAGAATCACTGTAACCACCCACACGTCGCCCTTACACCTCCCTTCGACATATAATGATACAAGTGGATGGATAAAGTAACGTGCAGTGTGCAAAGTCATGGCATTAGATTACCAAATAGGCAAAGACAAATGGATAAATTAGGAACAAATTAAATAACAAACAAATCAACAAAAATGACTTTAGAAGGGAACAAGAACACATACATGAGTATTAAGAAAACGCGTTTCACCACAAGCTACAAGCACTTGATCAATGAGAAAAGGAACAGATGTATCTAAATTACAAGCAGACCGTGCAGCTTAAGTCCTCCCGAGCATATAAGCCATCATTTAGGAGCTTATAAGTACCTTCTTTTTTTTTTCTTTTTTTTTTAAAATTTGGTATCTGTGTGTGGAAGGGGAAAGGAGGGGGGGGGGTTTTTGATCGGTTCCGACTCAACCGGGGTTGAAAGTCGATAAGTTGTGCAAGCGCGTTTTACGCACCAACGATAATGTGTCAACGATTGGGTGAAAGTAAATATAGACTTTAATTCTTTTTTTTTCAGTTTTAATTGTTTGGTCGACTGTCGTCATGGGAATCAAATGTGAATGTGTCACGACGCGGTGGAATCAGGCGCTCGTCAATTTTTGGACATGTGGAATTATCGGTGTTGTCTTAAAAGCTTGTTCATTTGTCTTGATTTCGATGAAAACAGTACCCATCATGCTTGAACAAAAGTCGAGACATTAGCCAATGAAGACGTTAGGTCATCTAGTGTTAGAAGTAAATTAGTTAGAAAATAGCCACCAAAGTTTGTTGACTTCCACAGCTTGTGAGTCCTTGGAAACTGAACTTTTTCTTTTTGTGTGTGTGTGCTCTTTTTTTCCTTTTCTTCTACTAAAAATCCACACCAAAAAGTTTTTAAATGGAAATACAACGTCTTCTTGAGCCAAAAACTCGACAAAAATTGCCAAAAGTTGGGCAAATGACGGTTTCTTCTATTTCATTATTTTCACGAGGGTCTGATTTCATCACAATGCTTCACAAATGTGGTCGTAGTCAGAGTGAGGAGCACCCAAGTGCGTGTCAGGCCAAGAGAGTTTTGAATGGAGTATTTAACTCTGCTTTCATCAAAGATTATACCCAAGATGTCGCATACTCTTGAAAGATTTTCTGGTGTTTGCGTGTGTTCATGTTGGTGGGGCCTGTGTCAAGTTGTTTTGTTTTGTTCGTTTGTTTTAGTTTTTATTTTGTTTGTGTTGTTTTTTTTGTTGTTGTTGTTGTTGTTGTTGTTGTTGTTTTTGTTGTTTTGTTGTTTTTGTTTGTTTGCTTGTTTTTGTAGTTTTTTTGGGGGGATGGGGGGTCAGTACTTCGTTAATAGATATGTATTTAGGACGTTTTTGCTCGTAATGTTGTTTTTAAATCGACACTCAGAAAAGCTTCCTAAATGTATTTTTGTTTTTAATGGAGATTTTACCGAAGACGATATCACTCTAAAGATATTTCGTTTTGCTTCTTACAAAACAAGCAAAGAAACCAAAAGTTTGCTGTTAAAAGGAATACAATTACTGTTTTATATAGGCTTTCTTTTTCACATTTAAAAATAATACATCTACCTCGAAGAAAAAATTGTTTTATATGAAGTAGTTTTCAAGACAAATTCGCCCCACACTCCTAGATTGTCTAAAAATACAATCTCGCTGTCTGTCTTGTTTTACTTGTAGGCTACTTAGTTTACTTTTACTTCTTCATCCTCTGTAACGTCGTTAAGTGTTTTTTGTTTTTTTTTTGGGGGGGGAGGTTCTAAGGTAGGCCAACTCCGCAGATCTTTCAGTTGGGTTATAATGATTTCTCAGGGTTTCCTTGACACCCTCAATGTACCTTTTGCGTGGCCTTCCTCTTCCTTTATAGCCTGGGTGCCTGGTGTTATGGGCTCTCGAGGCTGGCTGGCCAGGTGACATACGTAACAGGTGGCCAAACCGTTTTATTCTGACTTTCTATGAAATGCAGACAAGACTCAGTGCCAATAGCTGCTCTTACTTCTTCATTTTTCTGCCTGTCTCTTCTTGTCATGTTGTGGGTTTTGCGGAGACATTTTATTTCGCATGCAATGATTTTGCTTTCACGGGATTTGCGTGTAATGCGCCATGATATAATCTGCAGGTACAATAATCGTTATTTGAGCTAAGTTCAACAATATCTAATTGTTTAATATTGTCTTGTTTTGCGTTTGGCGTTTTCGATTAACTGCATTCCAATAAGAGCAACACACTCCCCGGTAGTGGGGTTTTTTTTTCAGGAGCGTTTTACAGAACAATATTGGTGGTTGTGGGTTTGGG